TTACGGGGCTGCCTCAAAATTGTTTAATGTAAAATTTGAATCACAAATAAATGTTGATTCATTTTCACGTTGCCTTAGAAATTTGCTCTAGAACAAGCCAAAGCCAAGGTAGAAGTATTATAGGTATATAATAATATGTAATTTTTATACTTGATTTTATTATGAAATGAATATGAAATGCATATACCTACTTACATAACATGGTATTAAGAACGTTACCTGCGTTCTGGGCACTTTGCCACATGTAATAGACTCTATTAAATATTTTCCAGCGTTTTACGCTCTTATAAATTTAAATTAATTTTCGTAAAGTACATTATTGATGTGAGTATATTATCTTTGATTAAGTTTTATAAATAACTGTGCCTTTGATTTATTGATCATTATTGATAGCCAGCGATTTGATGAATTAATTTCAATATTCTTTATAGTAATGACGCTTAATTGCAGTTATCTTTATCGAACGTCGAGGCAGAACACGAAAATCCAGCGTTTTTAAGGCAGTTTTTCCGCGCACCACCACTATGTGGAACCAGTTGCCCACTGAAGAATTTCCGAACCAATTCGACTTAGGGTCCACCAAGAATAGAGCGTACCATTTCATGAAAGGTCGGCAATGCATTCGCGAGCCCTCTGGCAATGTAAGTCTATGGGCGTCGGTAACACTTAACATCAGATGAGCCTCCCGCCCGTTTGCCCTCAGTTATATAATGGGTAAAACGCCTTTTACCATTATAATTAACTGAAGGAATTGGCAGCGGTCATGGCGAAAAACGTGGCCCAGGCTAGCGATTCTGTAACCATATTTGGCATTCTGATAAAACATTAGTTCAAGCTACTAACGCTCCTCCTTATCAGAATGAAATTATATAATAGTCTTTCACTGAAAAGAGCGCGATAGCCGCAATGAAAACCGATGTGTGAGATAACTCTTGAAAAGTAAGTTACAGAATCCCAGAGGCAGGTACGTAATTTTCCGTTGCCATAGTTGGTAATTATGAAAGCGAATTTTTAGTTTAATAGAATATTCAAAAAGTTAATCTAGATACTCTATAGTCATTCACTTAAAAGGATTATAGTATAACCCATGGAAATATAACCATTACAATTTTCAGCGTGGATAACTTAATTTAATATTGTGCTGTCAAATTACATTGCAATTTTTCTTTTAAATGTTTAATATTGAAAAAATTTCAATCGCATAGAAAAATTTACGTGTCGGGCACGTAACGTAACATTTTGCCGTAGCGCCATCCCGTGTTGTCAAAAATCTCGATTAAATCATCCGTGTTTAACTTTTTCATACTATCTTGGGTGATTTTGAAAATTTGTATTATTACTTTGTATGTTAAGAAAAGATTACTGTTTACGTATTGTAAATTTTTTCTTGATTGTTTTTTGATATGTTTAGTAATATTTATAATATAATATTGTAATGTGTTTACTTATGTACGTGCGAAACGAAGTTATACTTTTAAATGCATTATCATTTTATGTCATAACGTTTTGTGAGTTGCAAATGCGAATAAATTAATTACAATTAGAATAATCTTAACCTAAAAAGAGATGATTATAGTCAATAATAGTACAGTTTTCTATTTGAACTATTTATGAAATAAATAGCCTTTATTAAACTTATTCTCTTACATTAAGTTTAACATAAATTCTATTATTATTCCAATGGGGATCTTTTTTTAAATTATGGTCCTAATGCCGTAGCACTTCTTCCGTGTGGAACGATTCATTTTCTGTTAGTTTTGTGAATACGTTGCGCGCGCATCGTTAAAAATTCTCAATACTCTTTACTCAATTTTTCATAACGCTCCTAAAAAAAAAAAAATATAATGAAATTGTATTTGAAACAAAACACAGAAATAAACATGCATAGTTAGAATACATCTTACCTTGGAACAAATAAATCCAGAACTGCGCATTGTTCTATTACTCAAACGAAATTTATTGAATATTTTTCAAAACACATTTATTCTCGTATCTCTCGTATAGAGTGTAAAAACGACTGTCCAATGAATTCAATTTATTATTATTATATTACGCAGTTCCACAGATTACATTACATTATCATTAAATGTACCCAATTGTTGGATCTAATTTTACCAAATTAATGTTTTCCTATCCTATCCTATGGGATAGGAAGCACTGGAAACAGCTGGAGGAGGCCTTTGTGCCACAAAGGCAAGCTGTAGAACTTTTTATATACATTTATATTTTGTAAACTTTCTCTTGTATTAGTTAAAATAAACGCTTTGAAATTGAAATTGAATGTTTTCCTGACCATGACACTGTCAAGTGGGCGAGTATAATATTGTACAGTCGTCTTTTTATAGGCAAAGAAGTTATATCTGAATGTACTTGGATTATATCTAGTACTTCTTACTTCACTTTACCCAAAATTAATTCCTCATTTAATGTATTCAAATTCAATCCTTAACAGCTGTCTGTATACTGACATTACATTGACACATGATGCCACTTCGCATAACAAAGACTCAAACACGAAACCTACCTGTTAACGGGATCACTTGACATTATATTCTATATATTAAGGGTCTGTTTCACAATGTATGGATAAAGTACCAAATAGCTATGCAACACATAATTATTTGGAAGATAAATTGTGCTATTTGACACTTCATCGGACTCATAACTTATGATGGACGTTATGTGACGAATAGCGCTATCTGACAGTCGTGAAACGCAACAATAGTGTTTATCCTACCAATAAGTAATAAATAGCTAATTTGGAACTTATGTAGAACTTATCCATACATTGTGAAACAGACCCTTAGCATAGTAGAGCTACCAGTGAAACGTTTACAAATAGAATAATAATATAATTTGATTACTATAACGCAATATAAAAAAGTAAGGTGACTTTAGATTCTGATTATTTGAAACTGATCGGCGTTCTAAATTGAGTATTTTTGTTAAAGGGAATGTTTTGAAAAGACTTATATAATAGGTACAATATATTTAATTCAAAAATAAAAACAGCCGTCAAGGCTACTTACACCAAGTGCGTATACATTACAACAACATTAATAGTTACAAAAATAAAAGAAACACAAATAACACAATACATAAAAATTTCAGGGGATGCCACGGGCGGCCTTATCGCTAATAAGCGATCTCTTCCAGGCAACCCTAGTAAAAGAAAAACTAAAAAAAGATAAATGTTGAGTGCAAAAAGTGCAGAACCAAATGTTATATAAAAAAATATATAGAACCTTAATCTAAAGTAATACGAAAAAAAATATTAATAAGAAACTAAAAACTAAAAAGCTAATCTTACAGATTCATGAACAGCGAATAGCGATGCAATACAAAAGAAAAGGAAACACAAGAATTACACTAGTCACGATTGATATATAGCGGTGATATTAATATGTTTGATTTAAGTTATGGCGATTGAAGCCTTTCTGATTTATCGTAAATTTTAAAAGAGCAGCAGTGTTTCATTTCATTTATCTCAACGCCTGTGCCCATTCAAGGGAAATCAACTAATGTATAATATAGTAATCGGCAAAGGTGGCGTGTTTTTCCTGCTGATCCTAAGCTTTGTGAACGGAGAGTTTCTTACCAGTTATTCTCTGGTAGTAAATTTAAATTGACCTTCCATTTTTAAAATATTACCGTCCATTCGGGTACATATGAATGAATAAATGTTGATTTAATTTGATTTGAAGGGCACAACTCGCTTTAGGTAATCATTAAAATTGGTTCTTCTGTTTAAGTATGTTATAAATAAAACACAATAATGTTGCAAACTCTTTATTTCAGCCCAATGGTCCGCTTACAATACAATTGACAGGTTCTAGTTATTTGAAATTTCTTTATCGAAATATCCCCAAAAATGTATCTGTACTCTGACTAAACACAATTTAATGTGAACCAAGTAATTTAATTTCTTAACTATACCAAGCTTTGAATAACATTATCTAAGTAAAGCGAAAAGCTTCACGTGCTAAATATTTACATCTTCGACAATAGCATCTTTTCTATGCACTAATCCCTACTGTAGTGTCACCATAAGCTTTAAAGCTGGACTTTGCATTATTTAAAATGCCTGAATAGATTAACAAAAGTCCTGCTATAAAGCGCATGGTATCAACGATAATTTTCCCTAGCGCCACAGATTATATTATAGAAATTCTACATGATAGAGTAATACGATGTTTATGACGACTTCCAGGAATTAGCTCTTAGAAAACTCTTTGTCTTGTTTCAAGGAAGCTTGAGACATGACATAGCTCGTATCCTATTTACGGAACGCATATATATTATGTTTATCATATTATCCAATATTTGGAATAATGTTTGATTCTTCTTCAATCTGTGGAACTAAGGAAAACTTGACTAGACATTTTAGAATACTCAATTGTTTTATATATCAGTCTATAATAATACTTTTTGATCCTATAATAACAATGACTAGTTTATAATATGTACTTTTACACAATTAAATACTAAATACGATATGTTGTCGTAGGCATATTGCGCCTTTTAAAAGAAACAAATTTATTTACAGTGTTACAATTATAAAAGTTAATTTAACCAGCTATAATTAAATATAATTTTTATCTTTAATTTGTTTACATACGTTGAAATGAATTCACAAATGACAAATAAATAAGTAGATATTGCCAAAATACTGAACAGACTTTGACTTTAGTAATTTAAGAGAAAATTCTAAAATATTCTATTGATTCCTCAATCCTTTTTTAATTTGTTCTAATCAAAGTACATTTTCAATGTCATGCATGGCAATAACTGAATGAATAAATGATGAGGTCTTAAAGTACTTAAATATTATACATAGTCTTAATCGTTTTTTATCATACATATAATATTATGTCAACAGTGAAATATCATTTTATTTATCTATGGTTTGAACGTAATCTCGTATTCTATCTATTTTAAAAGTAATTAATTCAGAATTCATGTTTTTCGACATCAAAGAACATTATATTATGCCACAAATTCTAAGACATTGTATCTATGACGAGTATTGAGATCAAAAAGACGAACGTAAACTGATCCCTCGAGATGGCTCGGTTGTAGTCTTGTAATCTGAAATCTAACAATATTTCTTCTATAGATATTCTTTAAATAACTCTTTACAAAATATAATTAATTAGATGTACGCTTTTCTTAATCCTGTTCAAATTAATTAATGCTGATATTTTTAATTATCCTTAAAGATTAGAAGTCATGTTCCTCGATCCTATCTTAAAATGTTAAAAGAAATCGGGATAAATAAATTTATGTGAGATTTATGTATGTAGCTTATATCTACGATATAATCAATGCATCGCCTACATGAAATAAGTATATAATTTAGCCTTGTGTCAGCATTTTCAATATAAAAATTAAAAGATGTTAGTTTTATTTATTGGTAAGTAATGTTCACATGAAATCATAAATTATCCAACTTTACACTTTTACAGCCGTACTTAGAGTCATCCATAAAAATAACGATGTAAGTAGGCAACGAAATTTAACGCCCGATTAATTAACGACTATGTGTTTTACTTCAGATTGCATCTATAGATAACTCATCGAAATGGTATTTCCATTAGATGACTAAACATAGCGATAAGGGATTAAAAATATATCGTTCTCCCGATTATGTTAATCAGAACGGCCGTCTGATGGCGTCGTGCATCTCGTTCGTATTATATTAAGTTTGTACAAAAATTTAAAAAACATCCTTAAACGTAACGTTGTATCAATAAAAGAGCCTGGGTACAAAGGTTTCTTTATCGCTAAAGTCAGTTGAACGTAAAATATCGTAAAACAACTACTACGGTAATTAAACAAGTGAAACTATTTTTACCTTGAGTACCAAATGGAGTACTTTCCGATGCCTTGTCCATCATGATGTTTAACCTTTGTATAACTGTTGACAACGTTTATTCAATTAATTCATAAATTCAGAAATAATTCGCCAATGATAGAAATAGTCAGAGCTCAGAATTCCCGGCGAAACAATAATTGTTTTAGGTAGCTACAGCGTTCTGTTCTATATAATACGCTTTAAAATATCTTTACTTATACGCCTCACATGCATAAAAAAGTACATTTAGACTGTTAAAGTTTTATGATATTATTTGTATAGTTATTACATAAAAATACTAAGCCTATAATCTTATACATAGTTTAAACAGCTTCAGTAGTATTTAATAATTAATTCTTACCATTTTTATTTTCCAAAGCGGGTGGAGACATTGCTGCAAAATTAAAAATATGGTATTAATTGAAAATTTCAATATATTGCGATGAAATGCTTATATGTAACGATCAATTTTATACATACGATATAATTTTATGGTTCCTTCGGTATCTCCTAGTGAATTTTTGGAGACGCATTTATAGGCCCCGTAGTCACTAGTCTTGATTCTTCTGAGAGGTAATCTCAGTATAGAGCGGTAGGTGCCCGCTATCCTCTGCGGCTCTAGGCTGCCACCTATAACCGTTACTTTCATTAAGTACTTGTTTCATAATATATATTTATATGGCAACTCTTCAAAAAGTTCTGACATATGTTTAATAACAAATTGTACTAAGGCGAAGTGCATTTCGATTGAGAAAATTATTGTAAAGTTATTAAGCTATTGCATAGATTTTATTGCGGGCTTTGAGCGCCTAACACACTATGACGATGGTGCGGCCAATACGCGTTAGAACGGGACAGGACGCATACTGCGTCACATCGGTCTGGCGTGATCAGTGACGTAACGCAGGTGCGTTAGAGTGGGACAGAACGCATACTGCGTATTCACATCTCTCTGACGAGATCGGTGACGTAGCGTAAGCGCGGCCGGTGCAGCCGGTACGCGTTAAAGTAAGACAGACTATATAGGCGTGTTAGTCGGAGTCTGGTAGAGTGGAAGATAGAATAAATATCAAGAAAAAAAATACTGCATAAATAAATAATTATAATTGCATAAGTTGATAAAAAATGCTATACAATAGCTTTACCGCGGCAGTCCCCGAGTGCCACAGGTTTTTTTTTTAATGTTACAGGAGGCAAATGGGCAGGAGGCTCATCTGATGTTAAGTGATACCGCCGCCCATGGACACTCAACAAAATTAAACATAATTCATATTATATATTTAAGAAATTGTTTTGTTGATCGCGTTAATCTCAGATGCAGCAATTCGAGATTAATTTTTTTACCTAAGTTAGAAAATCTATAGAAGAAGGCTATTTATACCACGTTATACCCGAAATAACTGGGTATAACTCTGTAATATATAGTAATATGATATTTTACTAAGTTTAACTTAACATCCACGATTACTCATGTCGTAATACTTGGCTACATTTTACTATTTCGCTAATGAATTATTATATATATGGGTATAATTTGTATAACTAAGCAGAAGTATGTCAACGTATCGTGCGACTAAATTCTTAAAAACGCAAGAAAACAATTTTGTAGTAGGTATCACAAGGAGAAATGTATAAAATTATAAGTGCAATGGTGCCAAAAATACAAGTCAAATTTCTTTCAATTAATTTGTCGGTAGAATAGTTGTGGTTTAGAATACATATTGAGGTTTTAAAGGTACAGTGACCCAGATTCACACATCACAATATTATCTACCCGCATCTCATACATTATCACGATAAGCATTACTGCATTTCGAATGTCATGCAACACACTTTGAAAATCTGTTCATTGTAAATATTACTTTACTAAGTACTTTGACACGCCACTAACATACTTTGTTCTTGGGGATATTACTGAGCGTCATTGGTGTATATCGTGAACAACAGGATCAAGGATTTTTTACATCTTTCTTTCATATCATAATTATGCTCACAACGTTAATCATCCTAATTGTTGCCTTTCTTTGAGAGGTTTTGACTTTTATATAATATTAGATAATTAATGTAAATGTCTACCTAAAGCACTTTCTTTGATGTAATTTAATAAAAACATTAGAAACTAAGATTTTAAAATATTTTTTGCACCTTTAAATAGTGAATAAACATCGATCAAAATCAGTTACACCAATAAACTAATTGTCTGCACCTACTGACTACCTACTTACATATAAAATAATTAATAAATAAGACCCTGAAATACCTATTATAATTTGGAACTTTATACATAAACAACTGTTTTAATTCAGCAATTACATTAATAATTTAGTTTTTTTTAGAACAAGTCTATTGTTCTATGAGAAACATTTATAACACTAAAATCTTACCAATAGGAACAATTTCACCGTCTTCACGACTCCAGTAGCTGACGGGTTTGGGATAGGCTTCCGTTTCGCACTCCAGTACTAAATCAGTGCCAAGCGCTGCGCCAACTAACTGGTTCCGTATTGTTATCACCGGTGGAACTGACAAACAGGAAAATATGAGGTAAACGACCAAGTTAGCTTCAAGCTTTTAAAATACCCTGTTTCAAATATGAAAGGGATAAAGTATATATAACATAGTTATCTATCTATATTTAAAACCATGAGATATACATATATACATCATACAATTGTGAACAGGCAAAATACAAGCTATTTATATAAAGGATTATCTGTGATTAAAAAATAAATATCACGAATGATATTCCATTGAAACGAAGTGTTAATGAGTTATTGTTTAGGTATATGTAGAATATATGGTTGTAACAAATTTTAACTATACCTATATAAATCTTTATTTGATCTCAGTAACAATGTCTCATTCTGACCATGATTGTCGAAACGTCAAGTAACGTAAATATTGATTAATTCAAACAATTTCATTCATTTAGTAGGCAGTGCGCGCAATATGTGATTATTCTTTATTACCTTCTTCAAATATAAAACAAAATTTTCATGGTTTTTGTTGTTTCATATGTTGTATGTGTCTCCGCATTGGAAAAAAAGAAACATTGGAAAATTGTCAAAAAAAAATAATCAAAAACGTTCACGGGTTACTTTATAAAAACATCTGAAATCTTTCGTCAAATATTTTAAAAAACGTTATAAATGTAAAATTACGTTTATGTCATACTCACATTCAACGGTGAGCATTATTCTTTTGCTTACAGACGGCGGTACACCGTTCGAGGCTATGCATAAATATGGCCCCGCGTTCTGCCTGCTCACACGACTAATATTTAATACGGGGCCCTCCAACGACGTCACTGCAACATTATGTAGCTTAAAATATTTAAAGTGGCTGAGTTGTTAACGAATAGCCTTGCACTGGATTTGGTTCTAAACAATCACTGTTTCGACTTAAAAGGATAAATAGTATTTCCGAACTTATTCGACTTTTAAGAATTTTAAAAGGCCGGCAATGCACTGGCATAGAAGGATTACCTTCTTGCCTTAAACATATAACAACAAGACATGTGTTTACCCCTAGTATTGTCTTTGATTAACATAACTTTTATTCATTTAATAAAACACTATTTTGACCGGATTGAAGTTATGTATTATTATAAATTTACAACTATTTAACATAATTTTAAATTTATCCGACGTTTCGCGTGCTTTACAGTTGAATTGTGCGTGACCACGCACGCTGTAAAGCACGCGAAACGTCGGATAAATTTAAAAATTATGTTAAATAGTTGTAAATTTATAATAATACATAACTTCAATCCGGTCAAAATAGTGTTTTATTAAATGTGTTTACCCCATTCCACATTGAAGGATTATGGGAGTTCAAACAACACCGAGGCGTTACGGTTTTAACAACTGGTTGGTTCCTTTTTTGACAGATTGCATACATTTGAGTTTGTTGTGGGACGCCAAACCATAATGACAACAAAATCCACTTTCGAGCTCTCGTACGTAAGCTTGAATAGTTTAATTTTAACTAAATCGTTCCGGTCCAAAATAACTGTTGCAAACTTTAGTAGTACGACATGGTTGTAGTTATAATGTTAGTCTGACCCAGTAGATGCATATAACACATATTTACATTTCGAAAATCGAAAATCTAAAGAATTGCGGTACTCGCTTTTACGTATTAACTATTATGAATAGAGTCTGGCTAATGAAAAAAGATAATTGAATTATTTGAAAACTTTCGGATGGCAACACAGAATTTCATTGAATTTAAAGAAATTAGTTAGTATGATTTATGGTTAGTATGATTTATTGTCTTGATACTTCATGCAATTACTCATTTTTATTTATATTATATATTTTTTCCGAATAGTTAACAGGTATAAAGCCTAAACTTTGTTTTATTTTATAGAATATTTCGTTTCTTTTGCAGGATTTGATTATTTCGAATAAAGTTGTGTTTTATAATAAATATAGTTTTAGTTTTCCATGCAATACTAGTCATTTTATTTATCAGTAGTAAAAGACTAAATACGTATAGTATTTAATTTCATAGAAATACAGTTACTATCAATGTAAAAAATAATAAAATAAAATGAACTATCAAGTAAGTTTAATCCACAAAATATATCAAACTTTTAGGGATACCATACTATTTTTTTTTTAATTTGCCGCGCTTTTTCGTTATCTTCTTTCATTAGCCAGACTCTATATAGTTTACTCTATGAATATTTATACTCAGATAATCTGTGACTTGACCGACGCTTTTCGCGCAAATTAGTGTGACTATAATTGTCTTCCATCTATGAGTTCAAACGACATTTCCATTATCAACAAAATGTTACAGACAAATATAAACGTGAATCCATTTGCACCATTCTATAAATAGTCAATTAACAAATATGTAGACTATTTGTAGCATTACCTTGCGAGCCATTAGCCAAAGGGATAGTTTTGGAATGTTCTCTCCGCCAGTTTATCTGTGGTTGAGGAGAACCAGTTGCCGCACATGTCAGACTTATCGAAGCTCCTTCTCGAACTGTTTGGTCTGTACTCGTCCCGCGATCCATTATATCAGGTGGCACTAGGAAGAAATTTAAGTAACATTGATAAAATATCTCCTGATGATACTGAATCCCCATCTTTCTTTAACGTGTATACTAAAACTGAATCTGAGTTTTAATATTTTACACGCAAAACTTTTATGAGACTTATTGTTCTAGAAACCTTATATTATTCTAGTTCTTTGACATTAGCATACTATTTAGTCAAAGCTAGTATCTTAAAGCATGTATTTACATGACATTAGTCTTCACGATATTGTACTAACAAATTCGGTTAATTATATTAAGCATACGCATATTTGAAACCTTAATATGTTGTTCACAAGGTATTATCATTCTAAATATAATAGTTCCATTTATCTACGTATACGTGTAGTATACATAGGAAGACTTTTTTAAGCACATAATAATATCACGTAAATAAACTCAATAAAGGTTAAAGTTTACTTTGAATTCATACATCTCATTCATATATCTAAATTCAATTGATTCAATTCACCTAAGAACTAACTTACAAACTTAAAACATAGGAAGACTTTTTTAAGCACATAATAATATCACGTAAATAAACTCAATAAAGGTTAAAGTTTACTTTGAATTCATACATCTCATTCATATATCTAAATTCAATTGATTCAATTCACCTAAGAACTAACTTACAAACTTAAAACATCATGCATCAGCATTTTTCGACCGTTTACCTTATAAATTGGCATGAGTTAAAAACAAAATCTCACCGACAATATCCAAATATCCAAGTTGACTTTTCATGGGGTCTGTATTAATTTGACACATATACCATCCCCTGTCGGTCTCTCTAAGTTCCCGAATGTGTAGGAACCAGGTTCTATGGTCACTGTGGGTCACACCCACACGCCTACTTCGTGAAATCACGTGGGTATGAATTGTCAGGATCGTTTGGGTGTCCACACGAAGCCATGCTACCTATTTACAAAAGAGATATTAAGTATAGAAAAATTTCACCAAAGGATTGTCAACAGCTTGCGTATTAAAGCATTAGACGTACAAGCGTTTGTCCCTTAAGCCAATAGATCATTTGAGAACTTTTGCTATTTATTTTGAAATTGAATTGCGCGCAAACTACATATAGTATTATCCCTAAGAAACGCACTAGTAGTAATATGTACGTAAGCAAAATTAATTGGCCTTAAAACCTTCGTATATATTCATCAAATGATATCGCATACATTACAGCAAGGCCGTAAAAGAAGTAACGTAACTTGGTTATAAATGTCATTCATTTTTGTGCTACATATTTTATCTATTAATTTTAAAAGAATAATTATATGAAACTGTCAAACCAAACATTAAGAGCACTAAGAATTGATCATAAGAAAGTGAATATCTATATATCACGCGTATTTAAAGGATATAAAAGTATGTAAAAATTATTCCATGTGAAATTACATAGTATACAATAAACAAATACAAGATAAGAAGATATTATTCAATTTTATATTTAATTAAGTAACGCGATACGCTTTTGTAGCTTATACAATAGACAAGGGTAAGAAAAGCTCAATAGACTAACCCTTTATTATATAAATCAGTGTAATTTCATTCTTTTAGGTAAGGTACTCTCATTTTGTAAATAAAAGTCTCTTTCTGTTGAATTGTATTTACATTATGTAAGATCTGGTTAAAAAATACATATGAGTACATTACCTTTATGTTTAAGTTTTATATTTGATTACTTTTATGGTAAGAGTAAGAGAAAAATGGAGCAACAAAGTATTAAACTGGTGCCCAAGGTACAATAAACGCAAAAGAAGAAGACTATTTAGAAGGTTAGATAGACCAGATTAAGGAAACAGCAATTGGTGCATAGTAGAGAGTAGCACAATGCAGACAGAATTTATTTGGAGGAGGCCTTTGCTACAAAAACTCACACAGATACCTAAGAATAATTGTGATATTTATAGAATACTAGAGATCTTTCCTGGCTTCGCACGGCAGGTCAATGGAAAAATAATATAAAAACGGACGGCTCAGACTGGGAATCGAACCCAGATCGTTTGGTTACGCGGCAAAAGCTCTTCAAGGTTTTCGAGACTCCCCCTTGAGTAACCAGCTGTGTAATTGCGGTATAGATAAATAACATAGATGCCGACTGCAACGCCATCTGCCGGGCTGATCTAAACCATACAGGTGTCACCCAAACGCATACAAAAATGGTCTCAAAGCGGTCCAGCCGTTTAAGAGTTCAGTAAAATTATATGTATAAAGATAAATATCTATGTAAAGTATCTGAAATAAAAAGCTTTTATTATTATTTTTATTACGTATGAATAATTAATAGATTGATACGAATACCTATACACACGATCGTAAATCATTGTTGTACGTATTATTTATCCTAAAAATATCTAAAATGAAATGATATGGTATTGTTAAAATGTTATCATTACTGAAGTGAGCAATTTTCAAAATAGCTACTCAGAAGCGCCAAATTTTTACTTAAAAGTTATAATGACAGATAAGAAAGCTTTGTAATTTCGCATAGCTTCAGCATCTTTCCGAAGTCAACAGTGCTCAAGTTGCAAGTAGTTTGTATGCACATAATCTGTATACTTTAGTGTTCAACACGTTGTTTAAAACCTCGTCGCGAGTGATTCCAGAGGGTGTAGTTTGAGTACTTTAACAATATGCAGAATCTTAAGTGCTTTTATTGGACAAAGCTGCAGCTTAAGTCTTCTCTGGAACAACTTTATATTAAAAATATGACAATTTTAGTGTAACTGAAATTGACCGAAAAAAATGGATATTGAAGGGTTAACTCCAGCACAGAGTTGGCACACTAGCACCGTCAGCTTGACCCATACATTACTCCGAGTGCAGAGATTATATATATCTTTCGGTTGACTTTCTTTGCATGGTTTTTTTAAATAGTTATGTTTGATGAAAAAAATGTTAAATGAAATATAAGAAACTTGATAATTAAGACATTACGCAAACTAGCGATGATTACGATACATCATTTATATTACAACTTATATTAAAAATGACACGATGTCTTCAAACTTGAAAAGTTTGAATGTAAATATATTATATCAGTATCGAACTTCGATGGAAGAATTTGGAGGATACCTTCACTCCGTCGAAGGTCGAGTACGAGTTAAACATAACGACATGAACTAAATGTAATTTAATTTAGTACTCGAATAATGGCTTCTTTTATTTTTATTAGTTAAACAACTGAACTTACGTTAATTAAATTAAGTTAAAATATGCGCCTAGGCGACCCAATATCCCTTGTCTTATTTCTTAACATATAGTATTACGTACACATAAATAAAATAAATAAATAAAAATAAAAATGTGTTTATTCATTAAAGTACATATGCATTACAATGTGTAAGATTTGGGAACCCTTTTAAGTAAAAAAATACCTGTGGCAGGGTTCCCAGCTCTTCCATAACAATCTTAATTATAAATTCCTTAAAATATATTTCTATTTCATTACATCTTTTATTTTATTTATTTTTGTTTTTGATTTTTCAACACGCCTGAGTGCATAAATGAGTGTGTGGGTGTATGTTAGTGTATGAGTAAGTGTGTGGATGCAAATGTGTGAGTGAGTGAGTAAGTGAGTGAATAAGTGTGAATGACTAAAGTGTGTAGCTACATGACTAGAGATAGATAGATTAGAGTATTAGAGTAGATGCTCAGAAGTATCTCTAACACTACGTAAGGTGTGTTCATAAGCCAGTCCTCTAGTCGTATTTTTAGATGGTAGACGGTGAGCGGGTAGATATTAAGATATTAATTATTTATATAGTATTGTCTTTGATTTACATAACCTTTACATATTTAAAGAAAAACTTTTAACCGTTTGAAGTTATGTATATTATAAATTTACAATTTAACATAATTTTAAATTTATTGATTGTATACAATATGTCTGACTGAAGACAAAAGATGTTGGATGTCAAAAGTATACAGTGAGAAAGTTGCCTTATCTGTATTTATTTAGGTTTTTGCCAAAACCCTCCATCTTTTAGTCGATACCAACTCCGGGTAATAAATACAGATAAGGCAACTTTTCTACAGCTGTGATACTTTTTGACATCCAACATCTTTTGTCTTCAGTCACCGTGACCACGCACGCTGTAAAGCATGCGAAACGTCGGATAAATTTAAAATTATGTTAAACAGTTGTAAATTTATAGTAATACATAACTTCAATCCGTTAAACATTTTTCTTATATTTATATTCCAATAAAAATAGCAAAGACTAGGAGACATTCGATATATATTGTAATAACGGGAAATAACTATAGTACTGACAACAATATTCGAAATATCTTTCATACAGAATTGAAACAATATATTTCAATACTCCGTGTTCTTTAAGTATGACGACAATAGGTACTTACAGTTATTGGTTTGAACCAATGTACCTTTAAACCGTTTGAAATGTTTCGTAACAGAAAATATTGGTCTGTAGATACTAGTACCGTTTTATAGAAGTTTTTTGACCGTGTCAGGTCAGCCTGATTAATAAATGAATAAATAAATCAGTGGCGCTACAACCTCTTTAGGTCTTTGCCTCAGATTTCTGAATCTGTTTTATGATCATTTTTAAATATAATAGGCAAGTAGATGATCAGCCTCCTGTGCCTGACACACGCCGTCGACTTTTAGGGTCTAAGACATGTCGGTTTCCTCACGATGTTTTCCTTCACCGTTCCAGAAAATGTTAAATGCGCACATAGAAAGAAATTCCATTGGTCCCCCCCAAAGGGGGGGGGAGAAGGGACCCCCCCCCCCCCCCCCCCCCCCCCCCCCCCCCCCCCCGGGGGTTTTTTTTTTTTTTTTTTTTTTTTTTTTTTTTTTTTTTTTTTTTTATTTTCCCCCCAAAAAAAAAAAAAAAAATTTTTTTAACCACCCCCCAAAAAAAAAAAGGGGGTTTTTGTCTGATTAATAAAAAAATATTATTATTATTATTGGTGCACAGCCGGGGATCGAACCTACGACCTCAGGTATAAAAGTCGCACGCTGAAGCCACTTTTTTTTTTTTTTTTGGGGAAAAAAAAAACACCCCCCCCCCCCCCCCCGGGGCAGGCGCCCCCCCCCCCGGGGGGGGGGGGGGGGGGTTTACCCCCCCCCTCTGCTAACGCTGAAGCCACTAGGCCAACACTGGTCAGACTGATTATGTCATAAATATACATGACATGTACGTAATAATGTCATATGTTTGATTGATTGTTATATTTTTCTCTTAACCTAAATTTTCTATATCCCTATAAATAGCTCTAATAATATAAAATACTCAAATCGTTCATATTTCCTATTACAATAACACATTATTTTCACATCTCTACATTATTTATAACTTTCCGTATTTAAAAAATATATAAAACGTTCATAGCGTAAATCTATCATAATATCATCTTACTCACTTAATACTTTAATTAAAACTATGTTAAAGAAATTTATTTAAACGTTTTCTTTTACCTTCACGCAAAGGTTTATCGTTTTCCATTCCTTTATCCATGTATTTATAATTACATTTCTCAATACAAAAACGAAAGAATAGTCGTAAATTCCTGAACTTTCATTACAAAGTCTTACAGTTGTAGCGTAATTTCCCAAACACAAAGCCATTACTATAACTACAAGGTAGATAAAAGCATAGTGTGCACCTTGTACGTGGAGAGGTTATGCACGGCGCACGCGAGCACTGCCTCGCGACCCAATGGCGCGGTCACGTTCTCTATCGGCCCGCTGAAACCAGGCTCGTCTGCAACAAACATTTTAAAAATATATTTCCTAAACATTCCAATACAAATATAAAAGTTACGGAACGTTCTACGATGTTCTACAAAGAATACGTTGAATTATAAATGTTATCATTTTTAAAGAACATATAATAGTAATCTATCTAAATTTGAATATTCTAAATAGATATAATACGTATCTTGGTCATACCAAATGAGGTTTGAAGTTCCAAAACTAACACAGACACAGTGCACGATCATAATAACTTTCAGCTACACTCTCAAATACATGCGCATACACACCCATTCACTCACTCACTAATTTTTTATTTATAACACAATATTTTTTTTTAAACTGTTTTATAAAAGTACCATGTACCACGGAATAATTGTTTTCTACTTACTCACAACACAGGGCCTGCCTAGTGTGGGGACAAGCGATATATGAATTTTGTATAATGACCCTTTTGTCATAAATAAAGTTTTTATTTATTATTATTATTTAGATTCTATAAAACGTATTTTAGGCATAAAATATTTTATTAAAAAAAATACTTTATACTCTCTCTCTGAGGATACTTAACTACGTTAATTCTACAAAGTTTCTCCAACTATGAAGTTCCTAGTACTACTTTTACAACGATAACAGTTTTGAAACTATTTAGAAAAGAAACCGCCTGACGATAAGTATTTTTATTCTTCTGGATATCCATTATTTGAAATTAACTAGCTACGTGCTACGCGTCATAGCTCACGTATTGTAGCTATCGCTATTGTAGCATGGTCGTGTAGCACGTTAGCGTGTGCTTGCTAAGTTATATAACTTAATGAGCTAAATGTATTTGGAATAATCTAATGTCGCGCGTACCTATTCACAGTTTGTATGTTTGTAAAATCTGTTATAGCGACATCGAAGTGACTACTCATATTTGGTCGCAAAAATCGATAGTCGTAACAGCCGATGGCGTTTTATTAAGTACCTAATACAATAGAATTCAGCCGGGGCCTTTAATTTTGGTCAGTATAACCGGTATGTTGTTCTAAACGATGTCGTCGTAAACGGTTTTGACTGTAATGTACAAATAATAATAACGAAGTCGCGCTTCCCCCAACGCGCAAGCTCGAAAAGGTCGCTCGCGTTATAAAATTCCCAAAAATGGGTTTTTCGCGAATTTCGCTAAGTACTATACATTATTTTAACCAGCTCAGTACGCGATTCTAACGATACCATTCTCGCCGTGATCAGTGGAAAATTCGGAAAAAGTTCATACAAAACATCAATATAACCCGTTTTAGTACTTTTTTTTCGGTTTTTGCTGGGCGCGAATTTAAGATGGTGACATAGTGACTTCCTAACCGACCTAACGAACCACAATCGTCTCTGAAGGTTTATTGACTTTTAGGACAACCCTGGCCCCTGCAGGGTCAGGGGGAGGGGGGGGGGGGGAAAAAAGGGGGGGGGGGGGTGGGGGAGGATTGTTAAGAAGGTGGCATCTAATTAAGCGGGGCCTGGGGTTACTTCCCCCCCAAACACCTCCCCCTCTCCTCCCTTAGTGACATAAAAGACATTAGCGGCCTTCAACAAACATTTTTCAAGTTGGCAAATACCATCAGTGCCGCCATTAACGAAGGTAAAAGCGTTACAGCTACCAAAAAAACTGATATCAAACGCTTCCGAAATCATAAAGGGAGGGCAGCGGCGCTCCTACCAAAACTTACAAATAAGGCAGTCAGATCATCAGACAGAAACGAAAATCACGCATTAAAAACTGAAATCATTGAAGGCCGTTAAGGCCGAACTTACCAACTTTAAAAGTTCTATAATCACTAACCACCGCCCAATCACCTACGCTCAAGCAGCACAACCCCTCCACCAAACCCCCCCCCCCCACCAACCAAAACCCCCCCCCCCCCCCCCCCCCCCCAAACCTTCAATCCTCCTCCCTCCAAAAGAGGGCCACAACAGCGGAAACTATCGCCTCATGGAGAGCAGGGGGGGGGTGCTCCTTCCCGGGAGCACCAACTTTACCCCTGCAGAAGTTCACCCTGTCACCAATAATAAAATTAGAGTCGTCTTCGATAAACAAGAACATTTAGAAGCTACAATCCAAAAATCGGCCCTGCACACCCATCCAGGCTGAAATCAGCAAAAACTCAAACCCATGATAATACTCAAGGGCGTGGACAACTCAATAGATACGGAACTTTTACAAAATCTTATAATAACACAAAACGAGCCAATCAAACAACTTATAAAGGACTCCAACAAGGACATTATTTTCAAGTTTAAGCAACAAAACAAAAACAAAACTTATATAACGCTATATTTACCTGTGAGGGCGGTCCTCTGGCGCATCATTGTCAATCTGCACAAATTAAACGTTGACCATCTACGAGTACACGTAGCAGCGAGAGGAATACACGCCTCTACCCTCCAAAAGGGGGGAGTGCTACAAGTGCCTTAAATACGCGCACACACGCAGGCACTGGAAGGGGCGCACCGATGTAAATCCAACGACTCCTTCTGCTCCCACTGCTCCGCTTCTGGACCACCAATACCGTGACTGTCGCGTCAAAAATGACGGAAACCAAACTCTGCTGCTACAACCGCAGCAGCTACAACAATAAAACTGACAAAAAAGACACTACTACTCATAGCGCAACATCAGACCTCTGTCCGAGGAAACGTTTTATGGCCGACCCCGCCCCGATTGATTGGGAGTCGATTATGGATCTCAGTAAGTATTCAAATCACCAACCCAACACCTCATACAACGCATCCACACACTCTACAATTTATTCCATACAAATTAACCTGAACGGAGCAGGAACGCGCTACACGAACTCAACATTTATATTAATAACTATAAACCCGACATAGCTTTTATCACCCGAACCTTACACTAGCAACACTAAAAGAACCAAACTCAACGACAAAACTACACTCTTTATCAGTTTCCCTCTGACCGCCCAACACGCGCGGCCATTGCCATAGAAAAGCCTAGGCTCCACACTTGGCCTCACAAGCCACTCCACACCAAACCTATGCATTGTACAATGAAAAACTCACACACTGGCCACAAAGTTCATCTCATCTCAGTATATATAGAACCACGCAATGACACTTATAGCACTCTCGACACCTTAGAACAATTTTTACTTTTAAACCAAAACTCAACAAACATAATAGGAGGGCTGATTTCAATGGCTGGCACCAACTATGGGGATCAAGAACAAATAATCCTAGGGGTAACATGATACTTGACCTCATTATTAACAACAACCTTACACTATGCAACACAGGTAACACACCTACATTCCACACCATCACACTCAACAAACCTCGAGAATCTATCATAGACCTTACGCTCATCAGCAATAACCCTCATATTCACACTCACGACTGGTTGTACAACCCAATATTGTACCCAGCTCAGATACAACGCCATCACATTCAAATTACACCCCTCAACAACATTAAACTCACCAAACAAAACTCTCCACATTCAGATACAACACATCACATCCGATGGGAGGACATCATGGATGAATTCACACACCTGATCATGAGGGACCAACTACCGCCTATCGACAGCATCGACCAACTCCAACTCGCTCCCGCCAACTCGACACACCTCGTCGAGGAAGTCACCGGCGGCGATTCAGGGAGCATGCGGCGACAAGGGCCCTACCCAGGTGTCGCGGAGCTCCCAGCAAACCTCCCTTTTGGAATGACACTCTACAGCACTCAAACATAAAGTAATACAGATCCACCATCGACTCAGTCGCCGCAAGGAGCCTCCCCCCGACACCCCTCGATGACATCCTGAGAGAACGAGACACGGGGGGCGGGGAAAAAAACTCCTGCGCCTTCTGCAACGCTTCCACAGAACATTTCAAAAGACTTTTGCAATAGACAAACTAAAGAAGACGTCTGGTCAGTCACTAACAGAATTATTAAAACTAAACCCCTATCCCAACCTCCTTCAACACTTTTACTCGACTGACGCGGTACCTATACCAACAACACAGATGACCCCGGCACGGCACGTGCCTTGCGGGCTTGTCAATAACCCTCCTTCCCTCTGACACCCTACTCTACCGAAACACAACGATCTACCCGATCCCAAATGTCCCTTCCTCTAGACACCCAACCCCCGAACCTCCTTTCACCCACAGCGAAAATCCTAAATGCCATCAAACACATGAGTCATAAAAAGCACCAGGCGCTGATCATCTGACCGGCTGATATATGTTTTCATTTCATCTCCCAGTTTCCCGAATACATCACAAAAACTCTACAACAGGTGTCTGCTAACTGAACATTTTCCTCTCGCATGGAAACGCGCCATTTAAAAATCATTCCAAAACCTAACAAAACTAATCACTCCCACCTCTCCTCTTTCCGTCCCATTGACTTATTAATGTATTAGGCAAACTCCGAAAGACTTATAGTTGATCGTCCTCATTTTTCCTAGACACCCATAACCTTAATAACCCCAAACAATTCGGTTTCAAACAACAAACCTCTACAACTAAAGCCATACAAACCGCTTTTGACAAAGTCCGTCGGATGAAGGCTGCTGGAGAACATGTTGTCGAGTCTGCTCGACATCAAAGCCGCTTTCGATAACGCCTGTCCATCCTACTCCGACTCCGTAAGTACAAATGTCCCTCCAACCTATATAATATCCTGCAAAGCTACTTTTACAATAGGACTGTTGAAATCAACTTCTCAGACTCCACCATTAGTAAGGAGATGACTCGTGGTTGTATCAAGGCTCTGTCTGCGGACCGACAATGTGGAACCTCGTCATCGATGAACTCCTTGACCTTGACCTCACATCCAACTGCCACATCCAGGCATACGCTGATGACATATTTCTTATCATACACTCCCCGACCTTCCTAAACTGGAAGAATGCGTCAATCAAAATCTCCACAAAATCACGAGTGGGGCAAAAGTGTCAAACTAAGATCCGGACCCGAGAAGACCACCATCACCGGCTTCCCCACTAAAAATCCCACCCAAATCA